GAGAGAGAATAACCATTGCATCATTACATTTGGAAACAAACTTGAAATATAAGTTTGGACTATTGGCAAAGAGAGAGAATAACCATTGCATCATTACATTTGGAAACAAACTTGAAATATAAGTTTGGACTATTGGCAAAGAGAGAGAATAACCATTGCATCATTACATTTGATAAATACCATTTGGTATTTAATGTTGCACGTTTGAATATTTTGAAATTAAATTGTCACATGGCACGTTGATTGTGTTTGGTGGGCGCCACAAAACTGGAAAGTACACTAATGCTTTTAATACTTTCTTACGTTTGGGAGAATGAAGCACGTGCCACACATAATGCTACCCGACCCGTTAGACAACCCGTGTCCGTAAAATGTTGTATCACATAAACTCATTTAGGCATTTTTTAGGAATCCTAAATCCTGTCGATTGAATTAGTTCGACAATTGTGATCTGTGTGAAGGCGATTTGAAGGAGGCGTTGGTATTTCTCAGTCGGAGTGGAACGATGTATGCGAAAGGTACGTGTCACCAATGTTTTTGTGATTTTCCTTTTCGTTATGTTCCTTACGAGGTTGAATGATTGTGTGTGTGGTGTCGTGATTTTTGTCTGATGTTCCGAAGCAGTCGATTTTGTGATTGTGAATCATGGGGGGTTTGTGTGACGATGTTTGCGATTAGGGGTTTTCCTGTGTGTGGCGATGTTGGGTGTGTGTGGGGTTTTTTTTTTTTTTTGTTGTGTATGTGGGTTTGAATGGTTTGTGTGTCTCGTGTTTTTTTGTGTGATGTTTCGAAGCAGTCGATTTTGTGACTGTGAAGAATTGGGGGTTTGTGTGACGATGTTTGTGATTGGGGGGTTTCTGTGTTTGACGATGTTGGGTGTGTCTGGGTTTGTTTGTTTTTTGTTGTATTTGTGGGTTTGAATGGTTGTGTGTCTCGTGATTTTTTGTGTGATGTTCCGAAGCAGTCGATTTTGTGACAGTTTATGTTCGCTATTGTGAGGTGGCTGTTGGTCGAAGTTGTCATGGAGTTATATTGTTTCAGCTCTTTGAATTATGTTTGTGATTATAGGTTTTGATTGTTATTGGTTTTGTGATAATGTAGATGGTGACGATAACAGAAGGCCGTGGACGCGTTCGTGTGAACGGAAGCGTGTTGAAGGCGTATTTGGGACAAAATCGAACAAACTGGGTGTTAACATGCAGGGCCGCATACTGTTTAAGTAGTCGAAGACAAACCAGCAGCAAGCTCGTGAACAAGTTAATGAAACGGCTGGTGGGCCATCACGCACTGCACCCACAAGAATTAACTTCCGATCAAACATTGTTGGTATCGTGAAGCTTGTAACAACATCTCCTTTGAGGGCTGGTCATTTTGAACAGTTGAAGAGGACTCCATTTTGGATCATGGTTGAGGCTATCCGAATTAACAAGCTGAATCACAATGAATTCAGGAAGTATGACGAGGCGATTTTGAAAATAATATGTACGTATGATGCACAGTGTGACGCATTCAACATTGCTGCAAATTCTATTAAGCTTTGTAGGAGTGATGTTAGACTCCTGTTTGGGATTCAATGTGGTACAAAGCATATTGATCTGTCTCCTTGTCAAAGGCCGACATCAGATTTCATTCAGCGGAGGAGTTTGAACACTGTGAGGATAACGTCGAAGCTCGTGAAGACTTTGTTCGAAGAAGCTGTGGCCGGGCGAAGAAGGGTTGACGAGGAGGACACAGCAAAGTTGTTGACACTGTATATGTGTGGGAAGATTTTTTTGCTAATTCTGGGGAGACGATAAATTGGGCATTTGTGCGATACATCGATGACCTGAATACCGTACGTTCATACGACTGGACTGGTGCAATCCTACAAATGTTGATGGGTTTAATCAAGGATTTCCATCAGACGCTGGTATGTGAATTTTATTTTGTTTTGCAGATTTAGTAATTGTTTTATAGTATATATGTTGTTGAAATAATGGTTGGTTTTAAAGAATTTTGTATTTGGAACGCAGTATTGGATTTGTGAACATTCCACGCTGGTGAAACCTGAAACGGAGAGTATGTTCCCAAGATTTATGAAATAGGACATTGGTGCCTTAGTTATCCGGATACGGGGTTTGGATTTATCAACACCTGGCAAATTCCAGGTCTAGTACTTGTATAATTATGTGTAATATTTGGTCGTAACTGTTATTGGACGAGGGTGTTTGAATATTGTGTTGTTTGATTTGTGTTTTGTTTGTATGTTTGGCAGGTACGTACTGACAGATTGTAGTCGTTAGAGTATGAACATGACATCTTGGCAACAAACGAGCAAGAAGTTGGCCATCGTGATGATGGAGTGACGGATGGGGTTATCAGATGTGGCGATGGGATTCAACGTGTGACACATGAGGTGGTGGATGGCATGGGGGTGAAAGCGAAAGATGTGCACAGCGTGGTACGTGATGCAGTGAGTGACGTGGCTAGTTTAACCGAATTGGAAAAGGCTTTGAAGTCTATGGCAGATATGGAATTACGGAACAAAGCAAACGAGGAGACAATCTCAAAGCTGGAGAATAAAGTAGTCAGTTTGAAGAGTAAGATGGAAATGCAAGTCGTTAACATTGTCGGTTGGTTCGGGTGTGTTGTGAAGGTTAAGGATGACGAAATACGAAAACTTGAAAATGAGAACAAGGAATTACGGCAAACAATTTCGATGTTGGAAGACCAACTGGCTGACCAACAAGTACACACTGTTACGCAAGCTTACCGGAAGAACACACCAACTGACTTTAGGGACGTTGGTGCAAGCCATTGCGAAGGAGGTAGTGGGTTCGATGTGACGGTTGTTCATGATGTTACGCCTATTCGGGTTGGTGTAAATGTTGGTGTTAGTGGTGAGAATGTTACTGTTCACACAGTGTCTGATTCTAGTCCGGTGCCATAACGTAGTATGGGTGATGTAAATTTGACGGACTTTGAAGTGGGAGTGTTTCCGAATAAAGGGGAAGGTGTAAGAAACTTGTTCATGCATAACCTGAAGAACAAAGTCAGGAAAGAATTAAGGCTGAAAGATTATGACTACCAGGTAGTTGGGGAGCACGAAAAGAAAACAGTCACACACGGGTGCAAGGGTGTGTAGATGGAAAAAAGCACTATAAATGACACAGTTGTAGACGTGGACACAGTTGGTGTGGCAGCCAGTAAATGGTCTGGGTTTGAGTTGAACAACCGGTTTGGGGTATGGAAAATGATGACTTTTGAGGAAAATGAGAAAATAATGAAGGCTTACGAACGGAATGGCGACGGGTATGTGCGGGTGTTTACGTAATTTATTTCCGTATACGTATCGTGTGTTGGTGAGTTTTTGTGAGGATGTGTTTGTTTTATGTGTAGGGCTGTCATGTGGACTGGTGGTGAAAGTGGTGTGGCTGTGTATTTTATGGACGTCAAGAGTCTTGTACGGGGAGAAAGTATATGTGGCAATGTGAGTTGTGTTATTACTTTATTGTGTCACGCGTTGTGTTGTGTTACATGACTCTGTGAAATGTGTGTAGCCGTACATGTTTGATGCTGTTGATTTACGTATTTAATGTTTCAGTGTCTCAATGCAGGTGATTGATGCGTATGCTGAGACATTGGTGACAGAGCAGGCACATGCCTGTGCGGGTGATGCTTTAGCGGACAAATCGTACTTCTTCAGCAGTATTTGCATGGTGAGGAAGGTATTGTTTAATTGTTGTACACTGCAATTATCAACATTAGAACACATTTCTCCATACACATTATCATTAAATCACTTAATACATGCCATATTATCCTTTCTTTACTCTATTTTATGATTATGAGATGCTAAATGATGTCAATAACATGGTAAAATCAAGTAATTCAACTTCTCAAAATTTCCTGAAAAAGAGGTCCCCGCTCGAGCGCCACTTTGTCCGCTCGAGCGGACTGCACAATTTTCCGAAACTGCTGGGAGGCCTATTTTCACGCTCGAGCGGGAATACCTCCGCTCGAGCGGACCGCGCGAAAATCTGAAATTCTGGACTCTTCTCAAGCTTTAACCTTTCCTTTTTGCAAAAACACTTCAACATTGATGAAAACCCAAGTCCCAAAACACTTGGAACCCACTTGATTTCAACATTTTAGCTTCTAAACAAACCCAAATGCATCATGCACAAGATCAAACCATGATTTAAAGTGAAGAATCATAACTATTCATGTAAAAGCTTCATTTCTTCATATCCATGGAGGTTCTTCCTCAAAATATGACAAATATAACCATAAATCATCTATTCATGCCATGCATGCTCAAATTAAACACATATTCCCCTTTCAATCCTCTTATTTAACATGAGATCATTGATGCATCAACCTTACTTCAAGAATTTAGAGAAGATCCTTACCTTGATTCTTTAATTGAGGAAGATTTAAGCTTGATTCTCTTTTTCCTCCTCTTCTTCCCCTTTCTCACGAATTCTCTCTCTCTCTCTCTCCTTTCCAGATTTTTCTTCTCTTTGGTTTTGAGTCAAAACATGGTCAACATCTTTATCTATATACCTATATATATACCATAAAAATAGAATTGTGCCATTATCTTGAGCCAAACAAGGCTTAACGAATCAGACGAAATTCAGTTCTCAATTTATTTTCCCAAATGGTTCTACAAATTCCCGGTATCACATAGGCGTGTTCAATTTCGTTTTCCGAACCCATTACGGTCATCAATTTCAGTCCCAAAGTTCTCATCTCAACAGATATTCTTCTAAGTTCAACAGATAATCTTCAATTAAATCATGCTAACACATAATTAATTACTGGTAATCATAGTATACGGTTCTGGGTCGTTACACTCTCCCCAACTTAAAAAGTTTGGTCCTCCAAACTTAGCTCATGCTGATAATATTCAAATCAGAGATTTCGGTTGTACGTGATAATTCTTCCGTCAGAAATGTTCAATATAAAAGTAGTCATATAGACATAATCATTCCTTAACAAGTAATAACAAAGATATATTATTCCGTTATGGTCATATGTTCATATTTCCACCGCATAAGTAACATAGCCATCGCATAGAGAACAGTGCTAACATCACGGTAGATAATAAAAATCATACCTGTATTCGCTTTTTCAGTATTCTGTGTCTTTTCTGAAACTAGGGTGAAAACCCTTCCTTGCCTCAATGTATTCCCCTCAAGAGCAGATGTTACGTTTGTCTTTGGTGTCATTGTTGAGTTAACTCCACTAGCAATGGGTCCTTCATTTCTTACATAAACTTGTGGGCAAGCTTTAGCTATATGTCCTTTTTGTCCACATTTGAAACAGACTCTGGTTCCACGGCGACAAATACCCCAATGTTGCTTCCCACATTCCTTACAAGTAGGAACACCTATACTGCCACCACTTTCCCTTTTTGTGTTGTCACTAAACTTTGAAGTCAAATTTTCATTCACGGGGCCCATGGATTCACTAACTGTTTCTACTTTCTGTTTCTTGAATTTCTTACTTTCTGGTTCAGGTGTAGTTATAGACTTGGACATGTTCAAGATAGCAATATTTGTTTCAGCCATCAAGGCTCTGTCAAGTACATCAACATATTTTTCTAATTTCATCACATTCACCCTGTCAAGTACCTCAACATGTAGGCCACCCTCAAATTTCCTGGCCTTCTTGTAATCCGTATCAACCATATGAGGAGCGTAACGGGCTAGTTCGGTAAATTTCGCTTCATACTCCGCTACTGACATGGTTCCTTGCTTTAACTGTTCAAATTCAGATACTTTTCTATCTCGCATGCATTGTGGAAAATACTTTTCATAAAACGTCTCTTTGAATCGATCCCAGGTTAAGTCCCTATTCATATTTCGAATAAGCATCCACCATCTTCTCGCTTCTTCCTTCAAAGTGAATGTGGCTAATAGAACTTTATATGCATCATTACATGGAAACACTTCAAAAATTTTCTCAGTCTCAAGTACCCATGCCTCTGCTCGTAATGGCTCAATACCTCCTGCAAATTCTGGCGGTTTCAATTTCTTGTATTTCTGTGTCAGAGTGATGATGTCATCATAATTGATCGGTTCCACTTGAACAGGTGGTGGAGGAGGTGGTGGAAAAGGTTGTCTCTGTTGTTGTTGGTTTTGCTCTTGCTGTTGTCTCACCAACCCAGTTAAGGCTTCCACCATTCTTTCTAACCGATCCATTCTGGCATTAGAAGATTCTGACTCATCTACATTCCTTGCATTAGCGTTCTCCATTGGTCTCTAGTACCCATAGCAGATAGAATATTTCATTCTCAACATAATCGTTCCTCCGATGTCTCATCATTTACAGTTCTCGTTTCTTTCTCTTTCAAACACACACACACATGCACACATGTATGCCATGCTCTATTTCTTTTCCATGACACCCTACAGCTCTGATGGACACGTGTGTGGGTACATTAACT